GTATGTGAGCCGGGTCGATGCCTGCGCGGTTGCCCATTAAACTGCACAATGTCAGCCAGACAGTCCTCTTCAAGAGCACTTCCACAGTTCGCAACACCGAGCATTTTGCAGTCTAATCGATCCGAAGTGGCCAAGATTTCACCCATGAGGTGCCCGTAAGACGCCTCCATGGCTGAAGCGTCGTGCATAAGCATGTGTGTTCACGTCAGGCGGGGAAATGGTGCTAGGGTCAGACGCAAAACGGAAAATACCTAGTCTACACTAGGACCAAGTCTTAAAAGTGGCCTGTCAATCTGATCAAAGGTCTTCATCCAATATATGTGGAAATGCGTGAAATCGAGCAGCAAGCCGCACAGATAATCATTTTCAAACGTATGTTAAGGGGTTGTCTTTTTAGAAGGCTTTGCAGTATCAAAACAAAAAAGCAAGGGAGTTAAACTGAATAAAATGGGAACAATAGAAATTTTCAAGGTAAGAAGCAATAACTTACCGCTTTTAAAGCCCCCAGCAAGTCCTTCGTCATTTTCGAGCGCCGCTTATTTCAAAAAGCGATGGTACTTAAAGAAAAATTTAAACAATACCATTATCTAGGTTCTAATCAATTTCCTTAACGAATCTAAAATTATGTACTATTGGATTTTATAAAACAATCCACCAAAATAGAACATTGGACTTAGCCAAAGAGAGAAGACATATTATTGAGAAAAAAGCACGCTTATAAGACCACTAAAGGCGTACGAAATATGCAAAAACCGGAGACATGTCAGTGCTAAATGAGCCAACTAAGCCGAAAACTACATCATGTGTTTGAAAAATTCAAAAGGAAATACTAAAAAGGGATTAATGAACAAATAATCAATGAATAACTTGTTTAATTCTGTAAACATAAGGGTACATTTATCTTTTAAATAGTCCATTTCCCAGCGAACTTTAGAACGACTTAGTACACACATTAAAGCGCTCGGTTGGTGCAGATAAAATGGGCAGTCTGTCATATCAAAGGATAAGCGAATAAAAACTCATTCAATTTTGGCTTAAAAATACAAAAGTAATATGATTAGTTAGTTTTCGAGGCGAAAAACTCTGCTGCTCTTGGGAGATTAAATTGGGGATAGAATAGGACCACCCTGTAGCATCAGGCATATAGGGCGCACAAAACGTTCTTCATAAAGGTAAAATTCCTAAAACGGATGAAGCTATTTGCTGTATATGGAATCATAACATTTTAGGATGACAGCGGTAGCAACCGTCAAGTTGCTGAGGTAGGAGGAACCAACCACGATCGATCACAGTCCGTTACGTGTTAAAGTGAGAAAGGGGCGTAAAGAGCTGCGAGGATCATCGGAGTGTATAGAGATGCCACCATATTACTTCCTTGCTGACGGACCAAACAGTTAGCAGCTGGGAAGAACATAATAGTCCGTCGTGAACATAAAGATGTCGCTTGGGGTTGAAGTAAGAAGATGACATGAAACGCCTAGAGAAGCATTGCTCATGGGGGAGGACGGGTTAACGCCGTGGAGCTAGCAGTCAATTAAAATAAGGGGACCTATTTCTTAGTCAAGATGGTAAGATTTTGGAAGTGAACCAGCCAATACTGACTTTATGCGTTCTCGGATAAGGTGCATACGTAAAGCTAAATTGAATACCGATAATTTTGCCGATGGCCAAATGTCTAGAGAAAGATCATACGGACATGCCTTCGTGTAAACTAAACGAGGGTGGACGATACGTTCATTTATAACACCAAACAAGCACGTAACATCGAATGAAATCTGTAACCGACACGCTGGCAGCCGTCATTGGCTCAAAGTTTGTAGGAATGCGCGTTCAAGTCTAGGTAAGTTTATATTTTGACAGATGTTGGTAATTCATGCCTGGCAGTTATATTAATTTTTAAGCAAGCCTGTGCTGGACTGAATAATTCAGAAGAAGAAGATGTGATTGCTCGGACAAGCTTTTTATACACCTGACGTTACGAAGTCCGTCACGAATTCTTCATCAGAGACATTGACAAAAACAGTAGCAGACTCGGAGACTAAATAATGTATGTTGTCGTCTACGTTAACGTTATTCAAAGCCAAATTATATAAACCTTTAACTTCGGAAGATATGAAGTCATTATTGGCCATTTGTTACCCGAACGCGCCAGTTTTGTATTTGAAAGGGGTCCTCCTAGTATTTTTTAAGCGGTTCCCTTTATATAAGATTGGTTTCCGTCTAGGTTAATATTATCCTCTGCAGAGTTAGCCTTTGCAGCGGTTCTTAATTCCCTCGTCTTTATAACCATCATTTCCGATTTTGACAAGCTTTCTCCGTTTTGAAACGCTTACTATGATCTTCAAGTTCTCTGTTGATGAGCATGGGCGGTTCCAGGCCCGGTTACTTAGGATAGGAGAGAAGACTTAGGAAAGCCAGATTTTGGAAAACTATATTCTGTATAGAAGAGTTCCGAGGAAGTTGCAACTCGGTCTTGGATTACGTTCGACCACGAGGGCCGTGTGCAAGCACTGTGTCGTCAAGGCGGCCAACGACGCTGCCTGCATCCGCCCCGCTCGGAATGTAATCCGGAGTGTGGTCTAGCGGTAGCAATCCGGGCGGCTGTCGCAAGTTGTCGCTGCCTCCTTCAGCTTTGATGGCAATTGGTCAGACCGCGATATCGTGTGTTAGTAGGTCGCGTTAGAGATTGAGCGAGAGGTGGCCAGGTTGCGGACAGTCAGCGTGACTGCAGCCTTGGCGTGATGAGTCAGCGATCACGGGTTCCCACTGTGGTGCTAACGCCCACTACAATTCGTCTGTTTTCGCCAGCTTTTCTGTGCACTCGGCATTCCGCAAGGTCGCATTTTCCGCGTCAGTTTAGTTCAACTGTACTGAGGGAAGGATAGGCAAACGCTTTTGAATTCCCTATTGTTGACCGGTTGATTCAATTCTGGAGACCGTGGATGCGGCAGGATTATAACATACTCGGGCCACCAAATTAGTTAGAGGCTCAAGTGCATTACCATATGAGCTCCACCTAAATAACCTTAAACTGTATCCTCTGGCTTATACGCAGTTACGCGCAGGTTTGATACAAACCTTCTGTATCAAAAAGGCCTGCAGGGCCTCGTCGTTGCAAACTTAGTGTAGTGGTAAAAATAAATATAACGTGGATAATTGCTGTTCTGTGTGAGCAACAATCGACGGGTGTTAAGACGATTAACCCTAAGTGTTGCGATCTTCCAGGCCGTTGATTGCTTTAGGTGAGGTGCAAAGACGGTGGGCAAGCCTGATTGTTAGGAACAATGTATTCTGCAGAAGGATAGGACAATAGAGGGAAAGAGTTTTGACCCTCGGATGACCACAGTCCGGCTGCCAGGGCGTCAATTCCGGAGTGACGACAGCGTCGGGAATGGCTGGATGACCGGCGCATGCTTCGTTACAGTAGGCAATCATGCGGATAATGTCTAGATTAGAGGTAGTGGCGCGACTTTGAGAGGGGCGAAGGCTGGCTATGCTGGGCGCGAGTCCGTTTATGCATAGGCCCGAGGCACGTGGGAAAACTGCTTTCGCGAGAGGTCCTATGCTCTGAGCGACTTCGTCTGTGGCACCAAGAGTTATGAGGGCGTGGAACAGACGCTACTACTACACAAGCACATAAGGAGCGTATGAGTTTAGTAGGGTAGGCAGAGAGTTTCATATCCGCCAACATATCGTCATTTTATAAGAATAGTTAACAGTCTCTGAGAAGTGTGGTGAACTAAGGAGGAAGCAGTGAAAAAAACTCCTACCATGAAAGCGGGGACAGAGTTCCGCGGACGCCCACTTTACAAAAATAAGACTAACAAGAAAACATTACATCTATGAAA